TCATATACACTTTGCAAATATTTTCTCCCAGTCTGTGGCTTATCTTTTTGTTCTCTTAACAGTACCTTTTGAAAACTCTAAGTTTTAAATTTTAGTGAAGCATATTCTATTGTTTTTTTTCTTTTATGCCTCACACTTTTGGTGTTACAGCAAAGAGGTATTCACCTAACTCAAGGGCAGAAAGATCTGCTCCTATGTTTCCTTCTAGATATTTTATAGTTTTGGGTTTTATATCTACCTCTGAGGTCCACTTTTCCTGTTGTCTTTTCTCTTGTTGGGGACTTCAGTTGCAAGTATAGTAGGCTGCTTATGCTCTTTTCATTTATTTAAATTATTTTTTTCTCTTTGGGTTTCCTTTTGGAGAGTTTCTATTGTTTGGTCTTCAAATTCACTAATTTGTGTTCTACAACATATGATGGCTATTAGTCTTACCAAGAGTATATCGATTTTTTATCTTATACAATGTAATTTTCATCTCTAGAAATTTTATTATTTTAAAGATATACTTATTTATTATATAGAGAGAAAGAGCATGCAAGCAGGAAGGAGGAGCAGAGGGAGAGGGAGAGAGAGTATCAAGCAGACTCCCTGTGGAATGTGGAGCCTGATACAGGGCTCAATCTCATGACCCTGAGATCATGACCTGAGCGAAAAATTAAGAGTCAGATCCTTAACTGACTGAGCCACTCAGAACCCCTAGAAATTTTTAAAAATTTATCTTTCATATCTCTACTTAATCTTTGAACATATTAAAACTCATGTAATGTTCTTAGCTTTTTTTTTTTTTTAAAGATTCTATTTGACAGCCAGAGAGAGCACAAGCAGGGAGTAGCATGCAGAGGGAGAGGGAGAAGATGTAGGGCTCCATCCCAGGACCCCGGGATCATAACCTGAGCTGAAGGCAGACAACTAACTGACTGAGCCACCTAGGTGCCCCACGTTCCTAGCTTTTAATTACAACACCTTTGCCAGTTCTGGGTTTTATTTTTCTTCTCTTATGTGTCATATTTTCTTGTTTCTTTATATGCATGGTAACTTTTTAAATGGTAATCTTTAATTGGATAACACTATGAATTTTACTTTCTTGGGTGCTAGATAATTTTGTATTCATATAAATGTTCTTTTGCTTGTTCCGAGGTACAACTAGTTTTCTTAGAAATAGTTTGAGTCTTTGGGTCTTGTTTTTGAGATTTGTTAGGAAATAGGGGAGAAGAATTTATTGTAGGGCTAATAATTCCCCACATCTGAAGCAAGGGTTTTCTGTGTATTCTAGTTAAAGCCCCCCAAATTATGAGCTTTTCATCACTGCTGATGGGAGCATGCAATATTCCCTACTCTATGTGAGTACCAGACACTATTTCTTCTAATTATTTTCAGCAATTCTTCTTGGTTATTAAGTAGCTTCCTCACGTAATGTGTTGATCATTACTCTGCTGCATACTAGAGCAGGGCCCTCTAGAGATCTACTAGATTTCTATTTCTGTGCAATTCTGTCCTATCTGGTATTTTGTTCTGTGTTATAAACAAAAACCAATACACATGAATTACTCAAATATCGCATCCTCATGTAGGCAGGAAGTGATAGGGCTATTTGGAGCCAGATCACCCTTAGTACCTGTCAGACCCAGACCCAGCACCAGGGCAGCCAGCAAGAGGGTGGGGAGAATAACAGGTTTTATTTTTATGATCACTTGAGTAATGGTGAAAAGTGGGAGTAGAGAGTGGTCAGCCCTTAAATAGAGAATCTTTAGAACTGAAGAATATGATAATAGATAAAAAATACACTAGAGGGAATGAATAGCAGATTAGATGATGCAGAGAACAAATCAGCAATCTGGAAGACAGGGTAGTAGAAATTAGCCAATCAGAACAGCAAAAAGAATAATGAACAAATGAGGATAAATTTAAAGGCCTCTGGGACAGTATCAACTTAACATTCATATTATAGGGGTCTCAGAAAGAAAAGAAAGAGATAAAGGAACAGAAAACCTATTTGAAGAAATAACGGTTGAAATCTCCCCTAACCTGGTAAAGGAAACAGACATCCACATCCAGAAATCACACAGGAAGTCTCCAATAAGATGAACCAGGAGCCCCATACCAAGACACATTATGAACAAAGTGTCAGCAGTTAAAGAGAGAAAAAGCAGCAAGAGAAAAATAACTAGTTTCATAAAAGGAAACACCCATAAGATTACCAACTTATTTTTCAACAGAATCTTTACAGGCCAAAAGGGAGTGGCAAAATATATTCAAAATGCTAAAAGGAAAGAACTTACAACCAAACATGCTCTACTAGGAAGTTTTCTGGACATGCAAAAGCTTAAAAAGTTCATCAACACCAAACAAGCCTTACAAGAAATGTTAAAGGAACTTCTTTTTTTTTTTTAAATAATTTTATTTGTTTATTTGACAGAGAGAGATCACAAGTAGGCAGAGAGGCAGGCAGAGAGAGGGAAGCAGGCTCCCCACTGAGCAGAGAGCCTGATGCGGGACTCGATCCCAGGACACTGAGATCATGACCTGAGCCGAAGGCAGAGGCTTAACCCACGGAGCCACCCAGGCACCCTTAAAGGAACTTCTTTACATTGGGAAGAAAAAAAAAAAAAAAGGCCATTACTAGAAATAAGAAAATTAAAAAACCTGGAAAAGGTAAACATATAGTAAAGGTAGTAGATAAACCACCTGTATAACTAATATAAAGGATAAAAGACAAAAGTAGTAAAAATCTTCTAGACCTAAATTAATTTGTAAAGAGATACACAAAATTGTAAAATTGTAAAATAGGATGTCAAGAAATAGGATGTCAAAAACTTAAAAAGAAGTGGCAGAGAATTAAAATATGCTTTTAGAACACACTTGAACTTAAGTAATCATCAACAATAAAATAGATAGCTACACATATGTATACACATAGGATATATGTGAACATCATGATATCACAAAACAAATATGTATAATAGATACACAAAAAAACAAAGGGATGCAAACATAACACTAAGGAGAGTCACCAAATTACAAGGGCAATAAGTACAGATCAATAATTACTTTAAATATAAATGGATGAAATGCTCCAATCAAAAAAGAAAAAGTATCTGAATGGATTAAAAAAAAAACAAGGCTCATATATATGCTATCTACAAGAGACTCATTTCAGATCTAAAGACATACACACTGAAAGCAAAGGGATGGAAAAGATATTCCATGCAAATGGAAATGAAAAGAAAGCTGAAGTAGCAATACTTATATCAGACAAAATAGACATCAAAACAAAGGCTGTAATTTGGAAAACAGTGTGAAGATTCCTCAAGAAATTAAAAGTAGAGCTTCCCTATGACCCTGCAATTGCACTATTGAGTATTTACCCCAAAGATACAGATGTAGTGAAAAGAAGGGCCATCTGTACCCTAATGTTTATAGTAGCAATGGCCATGGTTGCCAAACTATGGAAAGAACCAAGATGCCCTTCAATGGATAATGGATAAGGAAGATGTGGTCCATATACACTATAGAGTATTATGCCTCCATCAGAAAGGATGAATACCCAACTTTTGTAGCAACATGGATGGGACTGGAAGAGATTATGCTGAGTGAAATAAGTCAAGCAGAGAGAGTCAATTATCATATGGTTTCACTTATTTGTGGAACATAACAAATAGCATGGAGGACAAGGGGAGATGGAGAGGAGAAGGGAGTTGGGGGAAATTGGAAGGGTAGGTGAACCATGAGAGACTATGGACTCTGATAAGCAACCTGAGGGTTTTGAAGGGGCCAGGGGGTGAGAGGTTGGGGGAACCAGGTGGTGGGTATTCGAGAGGGCACGGATTGCATGGAGCACTGGGTGTGGTGCAAAAACAATGCATACTGTTATGATGAAAAGAAATAAAAATTTTAAAAAAAAATTAAAAATTAGAAAAAAAAAAACCAACAACAAAGGCTGTACTGCCAGGATGTGTGCCTGGACTGCACCTGCCTTGAATCCAGCCACCCCATGAGGATCACCCTGTGCAGAACACCCCAAACTACTGCATTGGGCTCTACCTCAGCTCTAGCTGCCGTACATAAGCATGCCCTCAGCATACTGCTCCAGAGCCACCTGGTCCATGCCAGCCTCTGCTCCAGCTGACATGACAGCCTGCCCAACTGTGGAGCTCCCTGAGACACTCTAGTTTCAACCTACTTCAGCTTCAATCATCCTGCCAACATGCCTTTTGCACAGAGATCCCCTGGGCTGCCCAAGCTGCACACAAAAAAGCTTTAGCTATCCTGCCAGAGTATGTTTAGAATAGACAATGACAGCACCACTCTAGGCCATGCCCATTGTTGTTTCAGCTATCCTCTTAGGGCACCCTCTGCACAGCAAGGCCTGGGATTGCCCCAGTTTATGCCTATTTCAGCTCTAACCATCCACCAAGATGGCTCCAGCATGGAGTGCCAAGGAAAAACCAGCACACAATAGCCATAACTCCAGCTAGCCCTCCAAAGTCACCAGGCACACAGAATTTACATAGAGGATGCCCATCCACAGGACCATCCCCTCAAGTTTAGGATAATTAGTTGTTCTGCCTAATACATAGAAAGAAACACAGAAAGTCATGCAAAATGAGGAGACAGAATATGTTCCAAACAAAGAATGAGACAAAAACTCACAAAAAGAACTAAATAAAACAGAGATAAACAATCTGCCTGATAAAGAGCTCAAAGTAATGGGCAGAGAGATGCTCACTGGGATAGAGGGAACTGTGTATCAACTCAGTGAGAATTTAAACATAAGGAGAAAATAAAAAAGAACCAAAGTTGAAAAATAACTGAAATGAAAACTACATCAGAGGAAATCAACAGATTAGAGGATGCAGAAGAACAGATAAGTGACCAGAAAGATAAGGTAATGGAAAGCACTAATGCTGAACAGCAAAAAGGAAAAAAGAATTTTAAAAAATGAGTATAGGTGTAAGTGACTTCTTAGACAACATCAAACGAACCAACTACCACATTTCAAGGTCCCAGAAGGAGAAGAGAGAAATGGGCAGAAAACGTATTTGAAGAACTAATAGCTGAAAACTCCCCTAATAGGGAAGGAAACAAACATCAAAGTTCAGAAAGCGCAGAGTGTTCCAAACAAGATCAACCCAAGGAGGTGCACACCCTGACACATAAAAATTAAAATGTCAAAGATGAAAGATGAAGACAGAACTTTAGAAGGCAACAAGAGAAGTGTCTAGTTATAAACGAGGGAAACCCCATAAAGTTATCAGCTGATTTTTTTTTTTTTTTTTTTGGCAGAAACCTGGCAGGCCATGAGGGAATGGTATGATATACTCAAAATGCTAAAAGGAAAAAAAAAATCTACAACCAAGAATAATCTATCCAACAAGTTTATTATTCAGAATTGAAGGAGAGATAAACAGTTCTCCAAACAAACACTAAAGGAGTTCACCACCACTAAATTGGGCTTAAAAGAATATGAAAGGGACTTCTTTAAGTGGAAAAGAAGTGGTTATAATTAGGACAAAACTATGAAAGAAAAATTTCGTGAGTAAAAGCAAACATAGAGTAGAGTTGATAAACACTTTAAAGTTAATATGAAAGTTAAAAGTCAAAAGTAGTAAAATATATCTAAAAAACTAGTTCAGGAGACTCACACATGAAAAGATGCAAAATATGACAACATATACACAAAATGTGGGGGGGTACCAGGGAAGTGAAAATAAATATTTTTAGAATGTGTTCAAACTTAATATACATGAGTATATATATACTACGATATATTTAGGATGCTGTCTATGAACCCCATATAAACTAAAAATTTGTAATAAACACAGGATAAAGGGAAAGGTAAGCTGAACACTAAAGAAAAATCATAATTCACAAGGAAAAAGAGCAAAAGAAAAAAGGAAAAGAATGACGAAAATACCAAGAAATAATTAATAAAATGGCAATAAGTACATACCTATCAATACTTTAAATGTAAATAGTGTGAATGCTCTAATCAGAAGACATAGTTTGATAAAATGAATAAAAAATAAACAAAACAAGACCCATCTGTATGCTGCCTGTAAGAGACTCAATTCAGACCCAAAGATACATACATACAGCCTGAAAGTGAAAAGATGGAAAAAGATATTCCATGTTAATAGAAATGGGGGGGGGCGTTGAGGTAACAGTACTTATATCAGACAAAAGAGACTTTAAGGCAAAGATTATAATAAAAGACAAAGAAGGGATTACATAATGGTAAAACAGATCAATCAAACAAGAAGATAAACAAGTGTAAATATTGATTCATGCAACATTGGAGCACCTAAACACATAAAACAAATATTAACAAGCACAAAGATGAAATTGACAGTAATATAATAGTCAGGAAATTTAATAACCTATATATATCACAGGATAGATCCAGCCAGAAAATCAAAAGGAAATAGTGTATTTGAACAATATGTTAGACAGTATCTGACCACGATATAAGACGAAAACTCAGTTATAAGGGGAAAAAAGCACGAACATTTGGAGGCTAATCAACATGCTACTAAACCATCAATGAGTCAATGATGAAAACAAAGGAAATTTTTAAAAAATACCTTGAGACAAATTTAAGGGAAAACAAATAGTCCAAAATGTAATGGATGAAGCAAAAGCAGTTTTAAGAGGTTTTTGGTGATATGGGTCCACCTGAAGAAACAACAACAACAAAAATACATAAAAAAAAAAAATCTAAATTTACACCTAAAGGATCTAGAAAAAAAGACAAAATCAAGCCCAACATTAGTAGAAGGAAGGAAATCATAAACATGAGAGTAGAAATAAGTGAAATAAAGTCTAAATAACAATGAAAAAAAAAATCAATGAAACTAACAGCTGGTACTTGGATAAGATACAATAATAAACCTTTATCTAGGCTCATTCTAAAAATATAAAATAAAATCAGAAATGAAAGAGGAGAAGTTACAACTGACTACCCAGAAATACAAAAGATCATGAGACTACTAGGAAACAAATACATGCCAACAAATAGGACCACTTAAAGGAAATAGACAAATTACTGGAAACGTACAATCTTCCAGGACGGAGCCAAAAAGAAATAGAAAATTGAAAAAATTACCAATCATGAAATTGAGCCAGTAATCAAAAAATTCCCAACAAGTAAGAGCCTAGAAGCAGATGGCTTCACAGATAACTTCTACCAAACATTTAAAGATGAATTAGTAACTATCCTTCTGAAACTCTTCCAGAAATTGAAGAGCTCAGAATGCTTCCAATTTCATTCTTTGAGGCCAGCATTACCCTGATGCCAAAAATAGACACAGACACTACAACAAAATATTATAGAAAAATAGCCCTAATGAACACTTATACAAAATTTCAACAAAACATTAGCAAACCTGATTCAGCAATATATTAAAAGGATCATCTATTATGACCAAGTGGGATTTATTCCAGGGATGCAAGGAGAGTTCAATATCCACAAATCAATCAAAGTGATATACCACACTAAAAAAAAAAAAAAAAAAAAAAGATAGAAGTAATATAATCATCTCAATAGATGCAGAAAAAGCATATAATTTTATATCCATTTATGATTAAAAACTCTCAACATGGCATAGAGAGGGAACAGGGAACATACCTAAACATAATAAAAGCCATAATGACAAACCCACAGCTAACATCATAATCAATGGTAGGAGTATGATGTTAAAAAAACAAACAAAAAAAACTCAAAGTTCAGGAAAAAGACAAGGCCACTCTTGCCACTTTTATTTACATAATACTGGAAGTCCTAGCCACAACAATCAGATGCGCACCTCCCCCAAAAAAAGGAAAAATAAAAAGACACTCAAATTGGAAAAGTTAAGAAGGGACTATTTTCAGATGACATACTGTATTAGAAAACCCTAAAGATGTCATGAGAAAACTATTAGAATAGAATTCAGTAAAGAAGCAGGATACATATTTAATACATAAAAATATGTTGCAACTATACACTAATAATGAATTAATATAGTAATTATTATAGCTGTACCAAAAAAAATAAAATACTTCGGAATAAATTTAACCAAGGAGATGAAAGACTGGTACTATGAGAAGTATATGATATTGATGAAAGAAATTAGAGATGTTGCAAATAATGTGAAGATATACTCTGCTCATGGACTGGAAATATTGATACCATTAAAATGCCCATACTACCCAAAACAATCTATGGATTCAATACAATCCCTATCAAAATACCAATGTCATTTTTCACAGAACTAGAACAAAAAAAAAATCTAAAATTCATAGAAAACCACAAAAAAAAAAACCCGAAGAAGAGCAAAGCTTGATACGGTATCATGCTCTCTGCTTTCAAACTATATTTAAAGGTAAAGTAATCAAAAGAGTATGATATTGGCAAAAAAATATACAGATCAGTGGGACAAAATAGATTCCAGAAATAAAACCATGCTCATGTGGTCAGTTAATTTTCAATAAGGAGGCAGGAACATATAATGGCGAAATGATGTCTTTTTTCAACAAACGGTGTTGGGAAAACTGGACAGCTACATGCAAAAGAATGAAACTGTACGACTTTCTTATACCATACACAAGAATAAACTCAAAATGGGTTAAAGACTTAAGTGTAAGACTAGAAACCATAAAACTCCTTGAAGAAACATAGCTAATAAACCCTGGGACACCAGTCTTAGCAATATTTTTTTGAATCCGTCCCTTCAGGCATGACAACTAAAGGAAAATAAACAAACAGGACCACATCAAACTAAAATCTTTTGCACCATGAAGAAAACCAACCACAAAAGGAAAAGACAAAGTATGGTATGGGGAGAAAATATTTGCAAATGCTATAACTGATAAGGGTTTAATATCTAAAATAAAGAACTCATACAACTTAATATAAAAATATCCAATTAGAAAATGGGCAAAGTAGACAGAATAGACATTCTCCAAAGAAGGCATACAGATGCCCAACAGATATAAAGATGTTCAGTATCACTAATCATTAGGGAAATTCAAATCAAAACCACAATGAGATATCACCTCACAGCTATTGGAATAGCTAGTATCAAAAATACAATAAATAGGGGCGCCTGGGTAGCTCAGTGGGTTAAAGCATCTGCCTTCAACTCAGGTCATGGTCCCAGGGTCTTGGGACCAGGCTCTCTGCTTGGCAGGGAGCCTGCTTACACTGCCCCACCCCCGCCCTGCCTGCCTCTCTGCCTACTTGTGATCTGTCAAGTAAATAAATAAAATCTTATAAAAAGTACAATAAATAACAAATGTTGGTGAGGATGTGGAGAAAAGAGAACCCTCAAGCACTGTAGGTAGGAGTGCAAAATGGTATAGCCATTATAGAAAACAGTATGGAGGTTCCTCAAAAAACTAAAAATAGAATTACCATGGAGCACTTGGGTGGCCCAGTTGGTTAAGTGTCCGACTGCTGATTTTTGCTAAGATCATGATCTCAGGGTCTGAGACTGAGCCCGGCATCAGGCTCTGTGCTCAAGTGGAGTCTGCTTCCTCCCCCATTTGCATGGGCTCTCTCTCTCTCTCAAATAAATAAAATCTTAAAAAAAAAAAATTATCATATGATTCCATGATTCCTTCTCTGGGTATGTATCTCAACAAAACAAAAGCACTATGTTGCAAAGATATATGTTCTACTATGTATATTGCAGCATTATTTACAATAACCAACATATGGAAGCAACCTATATGTCCATCATTAGATGAATGAATAAAGATCGCCCCCACATGCACACCTGGAATATTACTTATCCATAAAAAAGCGTGAAATCTTGTCATTTCCAACAACAGAGAGACACAGTATCATATTATGTAAAATAAGTCAGACAGAAAAAGAAAAAATACCATATGATTTCACTTATCTCTGTAACCTAAAAACCAAAACAAATGGGAAAAAAAGAAAAAAAAAAAAAAGAAAAGGGAAACAGACTCATAAATACAGAAAACCACCTGGTGGCTGCCATAGGGAAATGTGGTGAAGCAATGGTTGAAATAAATGAAGGGATTAAAAGGTACAAACTTACAGTTACAAAATAAATAAAACATGAGAAAAAAATAATATACAGTATAGAGAATATAGTTAATATTGTGTAACTATTTTGTATGATGAAAGTAGCTTGAGGAATCATAGCGATTACTTCATAATGTATTTAACTGCTGAATCAGTATGTTGCACAAGCAAAACTAATATACGCCCACTACACTTAAATTGAAAATAGATTAGTAATCTTACACCTAAAGGAGCTAGAAAAAGAACAGATGAAGTCTAAAGTCTAAAGGAAATAATAAAGATTATAGTAGAAATAAATGATACAGAAACTAAAAAAAAAAAAAAAAATAGATCAATAAAACCAGGAGCTAGTTCTTTGAAAAACTAATAAAATTGATAAACTCCTAGCCAGATGTATCAAAAAAAACCATAAAAGAAACAACAAAATCACAAATGAGAGAGGAAAAATAACAATCAACACCACAGAAATAAAGAAAATTATAAGAGGATATTATGAAAAACTGTAGGTCAACAAACTGGACAACCTAGAAGAAATGGATAAACTCCCTGAAACATATAAACTACCAAAACTGAAAAAAGGGGAGAAATAGAAAACTTGAACAGACACGGAACCAGCAAAGAAACCGAATCCATAAAAAAAAAAAAAAAAAAAAATCTTCCAACAAACAGAAGTCCAGGGCCATATGACTGCAAGGCAAGTTTTACCAAACATTTAAAGAAGAGTAAATACCTATCCTTCTCAAACTATTCCAAAAAATAGAAAAAGAAGGAAAACTTCCAAATTCATTCTATGAGGCCGGCATTACCCCGATACCAAAACCGGATAAAGATTCTATTAAAAAGAAATAACTACAGGCCAATATCCCCAATGAACATGGATGTAAAAGTTCTTAATAAAATCCAATGGTAAATTAAAAGAACCATTCACCACAATCAAATGGGATTTATTCCTGGATTGCAGGAATAAATGGAGTGGTTCAATACTCACAAATCAATCAACATGACATACTGCATTAATAAAAGAAAGGAGAACCATATGATCCTCTCAATAGATGCAGAAAAAGCATTTGACAAAGTGCAACATCTATTCCCAATAAAAACCCTCAACAAAGTAGGTACAGCGTCCCCTGTTCACCAGAACCTGGCCCTTCAGGTGAGTATCTTGTGTGTGTTGCTTATACTCTACTCTTGTGTCTGAGTCACTTTTCATGACTTTTAAAGCTCCAAGTTCCATATCCACTACTTACAAAAACTCATGGAATTCTGTCCCAAACTCGTGGAATTCAGCCCCTCTAGTATGTATGTATGTATGTATGTATGTATGTATGTTTGTATGTATTTTTAAGAATCTATTTATTTATTTGACAGAGCAAGAGAGCACAAACAGGGGGAGCAGCAGAGGGAGAGGGAGAACCATACTCCCTGCTGGGCAGGGAGCCCAACACAGGGCTCAATCCCAGAACCCGGGGATCATGACCCAAGCCAAAGGCAGATGCCAAATGGACTGAGCCACCAGGCTCTCCTCTGGTTTTAAAAGCCAAACATTATGGGGATTAATGTTCTTTGTGTGAGCTCCCTGGTACCATGGCCTGTTTCTCTGCCCTCTGCACACCGTTCCCCCTCCTGCTGTCAGCTTCTATTAATTTTTGTTTAGTCTATTTTGTCTCATATCAGTGGCTACACTAATTAATAGAGACAAAGAACGTTTTATAAGGATAAGAGAATCCATCCATCAGAAGATACAGCATTTACAAATGTACACATATTTACCAATAAAGCCCCCAAACACATGAAGCAAAAACTATCAGATCTGAAAGAGAAACAGACAATTCAGAGACTAATTGGGTCCTCAATATCCCTAACTGTAATAACTGCTAAACCACTAACAGAAGATCAAGAAGGAAATAAATATGTGAATTCCATTATCAACCAGTTAAACCATAAGACATTTTGAGACGCCTATAACCAATGACAGCAGATTATATTTTTCTAAAAAATACATGTAGATCATCCTCCAGGATAGATCATATGTTAGTCCATAAAACAAGTCTTAGTACATATGAGGCAACAAAATTTATACAAAATTTTTTTTTAAGATTTTATTTATTTATTTGACAGAGATCACAAGTAGGCAGAGAGGCAGGCGGGGGTGGGGGAAGCAGGCTCCCTACTGAGCAGAAAGCCTGAAGTGGGGCTCAATCTCAGGACCCTGGGACCATGACCTGAGCCAAAGGCAGAGGCTTTAACCCACTGAGCTACTCAGGTGCCCCACAAAATTTGTTCTTTAATCACAATTATAAATCAAGTATTGAAGGAAATATGAGAAAATCACAATAATGTAGAAATGAAACACATATTTTTAAATAACCATTGGGTCAAACAAGAAATCGCAAGGGGCTTATAATTTCAAAAAGAAATCATGCAGGCTTTTGCAGCTGCTGCTCATGGACATATAAGCTGGTAGGCTTAGGTTTATGGGTCCCCTAGGGACTAGAACTAATGGAGAAAGTATTCTCAACAAGCTATACCCCAGAGCCCAGCAGAGGGGAACAAACTGAACCACCCCAAGTCTGTGTATGAGCGAGGTTATTAGTTTATGAGCGAGGTTATTAGTTTATGAAGCATAGCTGTTGCCTGAGAGAGTGGGTGCTGCCTTTAGGCTCTCCCTCTGTTTCACTCCAGGTTGTTGGTATCTCCCAGAAAAAAACATGTGCACATGTCTGTTGCCACAGTTTTATTTATTTTTTTTAAGATTATTTATTTATTTGACACAGAGAGAGATCACAAATAAGCAGAGAGGCAGGCAGAGAGAAAGGGGGAAGCAGGCTCCCTGCTGAGCAGAGAGCCCGATGCAGGGCTTGATCCCAGGACCCTGAGATCATGCATGACCTGACCCAAAGGTAGAGGCTTAACCACTGAGCCACCAGGGCAGCCCTCCTGCCACAGTTTTTGAGGCTGCCACCCCGGGGCCACCCTTTGTTTGCCAGGCTCTGGGAGCCAGCAGGGCTTGCGTTCACAGATTCAACCAGACAGTAGCAAAGAAACAGTTCTTAACTGGCTGCTGCCCCAGGGCTTAGTGCAGAGGGAGCACACAGAAACACCCATTTCCCATTCTTCCCCTGCAGGAAGTATATTTGCATACTTTAAAACTCTGCCTCAGGGTCTGGCTTCCCAGCAGCCGGAATTGGAATTTCGGTGCTGACTGAGATACTCCCATTGGGACCCTGACAAGCCTAGGCACCCATCAACTACTGGGAGCCACTAAGAATAAAGTAGGCTGCTTGGACAATCAAAAGTTTTGAGAGACAACCAAGAGCTAGGGAAGGGTTGAACGCTAAGGTTTATCTCCAACACAAGGCCACTCCCTCAAGACTGGAAAAGGTGGCTATTTCTTTCTCTCTTTTCTTTTCTTTTTTTTTTTTTAAGATTTTATTTATTTTTTTATTTGACAGACAGATCACAAGTAGGCAGAGAGAGAGATGGGGAAGCAGGCTCTCTTCTGAGAAGAGAGCCCGATGCGGGGCTCAATCCCAGGACCCTGGGATCATGACCTGAGTTGAAGACAGGCTTTAACCCACTGAGCCACCCAGGTGCCCCAAGGTGGCTATTTCTATAATGCGTAGAAACCAACACAGAGAGTCAAGGAAAATGAAGAAAGAGGACTATGTCCCAAATGAAAGAGAAAAATTTTATGATTTGCCTATATAGAATTCAAATTAATGGCCATAAAGATGCTTACCAAGCCCAGGAGAAGAATGGATGAACTAAGTGAGAAGTTCACCAAAGAGATATAAAAATATAAGAAAGTACCAAAGAGCAGTTACAGAGATGAAGAATATAACAACTGAACTGAAAAATACGATAGAGGGGCTCAACAGTAGAGGAGATGAAGCAGAAGAAAAATTCCATGAACTCTAGCAGGCAGCAGAGGAATTCACCCAATGAGAGCAGAAAAAGAAAAAAAGAATGAACAAGAGAGAAGGTAGGCTAAGGAACTTAAAGGACAATATGAAACAGACAAACATGTGCATTATAGGACTCCCAGCAGAAGAGAGAAAAGGGGGCAGAAAACTTACTTGAAGAAATAATGGACAGAAACTTTCTTACACTGGGAAAGGAAATAAGCACCCAGACCCAGGAATCCTAGATAATCCCAAATTGGGATGAACCAAAGGAGAGCCACGTGAACAATTTGGACAACCTAAAAGAAATAGATAAATTCCTAGAAGTCTACAACCTACCAAGACTGAATCATGAAGATATAAAAGATCTTAATAGATCAATTACTAGTTAGGAGTGCTCATATAACAATAAAACAGGATTCTGGCCAGCTGTGTGTGACATACTTAAGTATCGATTATTTCTTACATGACTTTTTTTTTTTTTTTTTTTTTTTACAGTTTTTTTTTATTTATTTATTTATTTTTTTTTTTTCTTCCAGAGACACACAGTGAGAGAGGGAACACAAGCAGGAGGAGTAGGAGAGGGAGAAGCAGGCTTCCCACAGAGCAGGAAGCCCAATGTGGGACTCCATCCCAGGATCCTGGCATCATGACCTGTGCTGAAGGCAGACACTTAATGACTGAGCCCTTTCTTACATGACTTCTTATTATAGCTCTTCTTCCATGATAAATAAGTAACAGGGCAAATTACCTGGGGGATGCCATGATCAAGGAGTAAGGTCAAGTTTCCTTCAGGGGTGCCTGGGTGGCTCAATGGGTAAAGCCTCTGCCTTCGGCTCAGGTCATGATCCCTGGGTCCTGGGATCAAGCCCTGCACTGGGTTCTCTGCTCGGCAGGGAGCCTGCTTCCACTTCTCTCTCTCTGCCTGCCTGTCTGCCTACTTGTGACTTCTGCCTGTCAAACAAATAAAATCTTTAAAACAAGTTTCTTTTAGCTTAATAATGGACTATGAAACATACACCATTCCATATTCATAAAATGGTGGGTATTTCAGCAATTTTATCTCTTCTTTGGATTGCTAACAAATGAAGAGATTATTTAAAATTGTGATCTTGACCTTTAATTGAACATCTACTTTCAATGGATGTCAAGGATGAGATTATTGCCTAAACCAATCATTTTTTCCCCCTGGCTTCATTCAAGTCCCTGGTAGAACTGCATTCTGGTATGAATGGTGGCATAGGCTACCTAAAGAATGAGCAGGTGAAAACACACCTTGCCATTACTATAGCTATTCAATGTGGAAAGAGGGATAGGCATTTCTTTTCTTTGAATTACTCCAAATAGATGGAAAAATTAGATCCATAATAATAGATATGTATACTAATATTTAAACTCTGGAAAAATAAATATAGATGAAACCAACTAATATGAAACTTGAAACATGCTAGCAATGGTTCTATTATATTTAAAAAGTTGGGGGGAGTGGAAAATGACAAAAAACATTGGGATGACTATAAACAAAAACACAACATATCAAAGTTCATGGATGCAACAAAAACAGGGCTCAGAGGGAAATTTAGAGTTATAAATGCTTATATTAAAAAAGATCTCAGTTCAATAACCTAACCTTTCACCTTAAACTAGAAAAAGTAGAATTAAACCCAAAGCAGGCAGAATTGAGTACATAATAAATATTAGACCAGCAATAAATGGATAAGTAATAGAGAAAACAAAACCAAAACTTGCTTCTTTGAAAAGATAAACAAAAGTGATTTTTTTTTTCCCGATTTGGATGCTTTTTATTTCTTTTTGTAGTCTGATTGCCGAGGCTAGGACTTCTAGTACTATGCAGAATAGCAGTGGTGATAGTGGACAGCCCTGCCATGTTCCTGACCTTAGCGGAAAAGCTCTCAGTTTTTCCCCATTGAAAATGATATTTGCTGTGGGTTTTTCATAGATGGCTTTTATGATATTGAGGTATGTACCCTCTATGCCTACACTGTGAAGAATTTATTAAGAAAGGATGCTGTACTTTGTCAAATGCTTGTTCAGCATCTATTGAGAGTATCATATGGTTCTTGTTCTTTCTTTTATTAATGTGTTGTATCACATTGATTGATTTGCAGATGTCGAACCAACCTTGCAGCCCAGGAATAAATCCCACTTGGTCGTGGTGAATAATCCTTTTAATGGTCTGTTGGATCCTGTTGGCTAGTATTTTGGTGAGAGTTTTTGCGTCTGTATTCATCAAGGATATTGGTCTGTCATTCTCCTTTTTGGTGGGGTCTTTTTCTGGTTTCGGGGTCAAGGTGATGCTGGAATCAAGGTGATGCGGGCTTCATAAAATGAGTTTGGAAGTTTTCCTTCCATTTCTATTTTTTGGAACAGTTTAGGTAGACATACATAAGAAAAAACAGAAAAACTCAAATTACTAAAATTAGGTGTGAAAGATAACTACTTCTAACCTTTAAAACATAAAAAGGACTAGAAGGGAATACATGAACTATCAGAGTAGATAACGTAGATGAAGGGGATAAATTTCTAGAAAGACACAAAGTGCCAAAACTAAATCAAGAAGAAACAGAATATGTGAATACACCTATGACAAAGAGATTGAATTAGTCATCAAAAATCTCCAAAGAAAAGTCTAAGCCCAGATGTCTTCACTGGTGAATTCGTTCAAACACTAAAAAAGAGTTAACACCAATCCTTAAAAACTCTTGTAAAAAATGTCTGAGGGAGGCACACTTCCCAACTCATTACCTTGATATAAAAACAGATAAGGATCTCAAGAAAATTATAGATCAATATCACTTAGGAATATAGATGCAAAATCCTCAATAAAATATAAACAAACTGATTCCAGCAACATAGAGTAGGGGTTATATTATACCCTATGACCAAGTAGGATTTATCCCAGGCATGCAATGTTGATTTAACATATGAAAAAAAAATCAATGCAATACAAAATATTAATAAAATACAGGATGAAAAAACCCATATGATCATTTTAATAAAGTATCTGACAAAATGCAACATCTTTTTATGACAGAAACACACAACCACTAGGAAAAGAAATTTTTTTTTTAATTTTGTCAAGAACATCTAAGAAAAACCCACAGTTAACTTCATACTGAACCAGCACGAACTGAAAGTTTTCCCTGCCCCAAAGATCAGAAACAAGAATGTCTTCTCTCTTGCCATTTTTCTTTTTTTTTTTTTTTTTTTTAAGATTTTACTTATTTATTTGACAGAGATCACAAGTAGGCAGAGAGGCAGGCAGAGAGAGAGGGGGAGGCAGGCTTCCCGCCAAGCAGAAAGCCCGATGCGGGTCTCGATCCCAAGATCTGGGATCATGACCTGAGCCAAAGGCAGAGGCCTTAACCCACTGAGCCACCCAGGCGCCCCTCTCTTGCCATTTCTATTAAACTGTGCTGGAGGTTCTAGCCAGGAAAACTGAGCAAGAAAATAAAGTAATAGACATATAAACTGGAAAGAATTAAAACTATCTCCATTTTCATATGATATGATCTTGTTCACAGAAAATCCTACAAAACACACAAAAAATTATTAGAGCTTACAAATGAGTTGAACAAAGTTATAGGATACAAGATCAATATACAAAAAATTTGTTGTATTTCTACATACTAGCAATGAACAATCCACAAATGAAATCAAGAAAACCTTGTTCTACTTACAATACACAAGAGTAAAATGCCCAGTAATAAATTTAACAAAAGAAGTACAAGTCTATAAGAGACTCTTAATCTCAAAAAACAAACTTAGTGTTGCCTGGGGAGGGGGGAAAGGGAGAGGGTGGTTGGGTTATGGACATTGGGGAAGGTATGTGCTATGGTAAGTGCTGTGAAGTGTGTAAACCTGGCAATTCACAGACCTGTACCCCTCGGGCTAATAATACATTATATGTTAATAAAAAATTAAAAATTAAAAAAAAGAAGTCTTGTATGCTGAAAATAACAAAACATCATTAAAAGAAATTAAATAAGACCTAACTAAAGGGAAAGATATTGCATGTTCTTAGACTGGAAAATTTAGTATTAAGATGACAAGACTCCCCAAATTGACTTCTGTATTCAAGGCAATCTCTATCAAAATCTCAGCTGCCTGTTTTGCAGAAGTTGGCAAGTGTTCCTGAAATTTCATATGAAAATGCAAGTGACTCAGAATGGCCAAAACAATCTTGAAAACAAAGAACAAAGTTGGATTCTCACACTTCCAGATTTCAAAACTTAATACAAAAAGCTACAGTAATCCAGACAGTGTGCATTGGCATAAGATGGATTGATCTACGGAATATAATCAAGGCTCCAAAGGTAAACCCACACACTTATGGACAAAGATTTTCAAAAAGGGTACCCAGACAATTCAAAGGGGGAAAGAACAGTCTTTGACAAATGGTTCTAGGACCACTGGCTATCCGAATACAAAATAATGAAGCTGGACCCATTCCTCACAGTGCTTAAAACAAAAATTAAAAATGAGTCAAAATGGATCAAAGACCTAGATGTAAGAGCCAAAAGCATAAAACTCTTAAAAGAAAAATAGGCATAAATCTTAGTGACCTTGTATTAGGCATTGGTTTTTAAATATAACACTAAATGCATTACCAACAAAATAAAAATGCATAAATTGGAACTTATCAAAATTAAATACTTCCATGCTTCAAAGGACACCCTCAAGAAAGTAAAAGAGATAATCCATAGAATGGGAGAAAATATTTTCAAATCATTGAAGTGATAAGAATCTAGTATCTAAAATATATGAAGAAGCATTTTACCTCAACAATAAACACACAAATAACCCCATTTTAAGTTAACAGATATGAATATTTTTCCAAAGAAGAAGTACAAATATCTAATAAGCACATGGAAAGATACTCAGTATCATTCTTGGGGAAATGCAAATCAAAACCATAATGAAATACCACCTCACACCCACCAGGATAGCTATTTAAAAAAAAAAAAAAAAAAGGAAGAAAAACAGATGGTAAGGATATGGAGAGATTGGAACCCTTATGCATTGCCAAGGTACGCTACTTGGAAAAAGTTCGGCAAGTTCCTCAGAAAGTTAAACACACTTACCACATAACCCAGCAATTACACTCCTAGGTCCATACCCAAGAGAATTAAAAACAAGTTCACACACACAAAAATCTATACATCTGCATACAAGTATTTATGATAGTATTATTTGTAACAGCTCTAAAGTGGAAAGTACTCAAATGTTCATCAACTGAGGAATGGAGAAACAGATGCTGTGTAGCCATATGTACACATATCTGTGTAGCCAGATATGAAAAAGACTAAGGTACTGATGCAGGTTACAACATGAATGAATCCTGAAAATATGCCAAGGGAAAGAAAAACTAGGCCCAAGAATCCATACATTATAGGACTTAATTTTGTGAGATGTCCAGAGTTGCCAAGTTCACAGAGATGAAAATGGGTTAGTCATTTCCCAGGACTTGCGGGGGTGGGGAGAATTGGTAGTAACTGTTAACAGGTACTAGAGCTTTTTTTGGTTGGACGAGAATGTTTTGGAATTATATAGTGCTGAGGGTTGCACAACTCTAAATAGACTAAAACCACTGAACTGTATACTTTGAATGGGTGAATTTAATGATATGTGAATTAGATCTCAATATTTTAAGAAGACTGATCAGACCATTCTTCTTCTCAAAATCCTCCAGCAGGCTCATATCTCAGAGAAAAAGTCAAAGGAATAGAAGGCTCTGTAAAGCCACGCTCCCCACTGCTTCTCTGACCTCACCTCCTATCACTCTCCTACCTGCTCCTTCAGCT